GGTTGCAGCCCCCCCCCCCTCTGCCACAGAGCTGGTGCAGTAAAGGAGGAAGCACATGGATTCCAGCTAAAGCAGAGTGGGTGTATGAGTTATTTCAGTTGGACAGTACAAAACGTGTAGGTGAGTTTTTCCACCTTTTGGAGAAGTGTTATAGGATCTGTAGTTATCAGGCCAAGATCTCAGGCTGATGTTTGACCTAGAAGTGGAGCCAAGCTTTCCAAATCACACAGGGTGTTTTGAAACCCTTAACCTCATCATACATGAGATGAGCACCTCTCTCTCTTGCCATTCAGGGTGGTTATTATCTGCTCAAGCTTCCTTGGTGATGGTGGGGTTTTTTGGGGGCTGAGTTACAGCTGTTGAAAAGCATTGGTGCTCCTGTCTGAGGGTGTGTGCACTGCTCAGGGTTGGTGGGGGCTCTGAGCAGCCTAGCCCAGTGAAAGGTGTCCCATGCAGGGGGGTTGGAACTAGATGGTCTTTGTGGTCCCCTCCAAACCATTCTGTGATCTTCTGCCCATCACACATGGTTGCTGGAACAAAGTGTTGGGGTTTCTGAGGGTGTCAGCCCAGATTTGCCCTCTGTGGTCACTTGGCAAAAGAGGGACAGGGGCAAAACTGTTCCAGTATCTTACCTTTAGAAAACCTATTACTGGAATTGACTTTCCCTTTTTTTTTGTCTTGAGACTGGGCTATGAGAAGTGAAGCCAGCATCATAACAGTGAATCTGAACAAAATCTGGCTCCTGGGTTGAAACTCTGTAGTCACTGCAAAGCAGAACTGGCCATGTAAAGACAGTCATTGCTCCACAGGCTGAAAGGATTAACTGATATCATGTGAAAAAAAACCCACAACCTGCTCTGCCTCTTGCTGCCCCAGGAATGTGCAAGGGCACAGGAAGCAAAAGGAAGGTGTTTCTCCAACCTTGTAGGATCTCTAGGAGCAGCAGTGGCACACAGGGACTGCTCTGCTGTGCTTTCATTCATGATTTCACTTTACAGTTTGCAGCAAGCTCAGAAATGTGGGTGTTTAATTCATTCCAAGCACAACATTGATTTCAGTTTGGAAAACAGCCTAAAGTGCCTCCTCGTGAAGCTAATTCTGGTATTGCACATACTCATAGTCCTGTGCCTTGCATTTTTATGAGCTACCTCTGAGGATCTGGGTTTCAGTATGTGGAGCCAGAAGGGATCTGTGTGTTCCTGTGCTGACTAACCCACCTACGCCTCGTTTCTTATTTGCAAGCACATCTTGCATGATTTGTGTTATCCCTGATGAAATGGCCTGATATCTCTGGATGCAAGGGTAGGGGCATTTAGGCCATGGCTTAGCAAGGTGGGGTCAGTTGTTGTAGCTGGGGCAGAGGTTGTGCTGATGTTTGTAACATCTCGTGCCTGGATGCTGCCTTTTCATCTGGGAGTGGATGCAGTGAACCTGCAGAGATGGGAAAAGGATTGCTCAGCCATTTTATAGTCAAGGAAGTCAGGGCTCAGGGAGCTGATGCTGTCAGGTGATGGTGATGCAGCTATGGAAGCCAGGAGTGGAATGCAGGTCTCCTGACTCCCTGTCCTGTAAAGGGAGAAACAAGATCATGATTGAGATCAAGAATGTGGTCCAGAGGAACCATGGGTCAGTCAGCCCTTTTCTTGGAGCATGGCACCCAGTGTGTGGGAGGTAAGGACCTGCTGTTTCATCAAGTAACTCCAGCTCCATGCACATGAGATGGGTGGACAAAGCAGGGCAGGAGATAACATTCCCAGCAGTGTTTTGATGGAAAGGTCTTTACTGTCACAATCCTTCCTTCCCTGAGCTGTTTTGTCCCCACTTAATGGATGGGGAAAGAGAAGCTGAGGTGGTCTGCAGTGAGGTGGCCTTTCAAAGCCAGTTATTGCCTGGCCAGGAGAGCCTGAGGCTGTGGCTCACAGGCCTGTGCATCAGCCTCCCCTCCATCCTGCCATCCAGACTATTAAGGAAGATGATTTGTCATGTAATGATAAAACCTGATTTCCGGCTGTGCTGTTGACTCACTCCATAAGCAAATCACTCCTTGCTTTCTGGCCCTCAGTTTCCCCAGCAGAAAAGCAGGCTAACAACCCTGCTCCCTCCCTGCAGACAGCTGAGCTGTTTCTCTGATTGCTAAATGGCCTCAGGTGCAGAGCACAGGGGTTGTCCCTCAGGTCAGCAGGGAATGATCTCCCACCTGTTCTACACCCCAGACTCTCTGTTCACTTTGGTGGTGGAAGGGGCCACGTTCTGCTCCCTTTGCTTTGGGAAGGCTCCCAGGAGATGCCATAGACAGGGAAGGAAAAGGACTTGGATGCAATTTGGATTAGCTAAATATTAAACTATGTCCAGGTGGAAATGAGCACCTGGGAGCCCCGGAGCAGCATTCCTGAGGTCACAGGAGGTGTGAGTATGTGTGTGGGGTCTGCTGGTGTGGGGAGGGAGCCTGGAGCCCTCTGCCCAGCTCCAGCCCTTCTGCTTTTGCCTGGAAGGAGTGTTCTAAAAATTGCTAGTCTTTCCCAGCTAAAGTAGGTGAAATATTTATAAACCCATCCTCTAGAGGAGACCTTTTGCATAAGCATCAACCCCTCTGACTTCAAAACATGCAGCCCCCCCCAACCCCCTCCCTAAAAACAAAGAACAAGAAAAAAAAGCCATCTTGTGCTTCTCCCCCAGAGAAGTGGCAACTTTAACTGCATGTGTCTGGAATGGAGGCACCTATTTACCAGTGCAGGGATGGGCAGCAGCAGAAAAAGGGGGTTCTCCTGGGCTTCCTTGCCTGGCTCTGCTCCCTTGTGCAGCAGGTTCAGTGCCCTGGAGCTCAGGGGTGTTTGTGCCGTGGGGTGGGGACCGTGCGGGGGGTCCCAGCCGGGGGGAACCCCACTGCTGGCAAGGTGATGCAAACCCCGGGGGGATACTGGGGGGAGGA